AAGAGATGTAAACTAGAAAGAGAGAGACGTTCCCTATACAGACGAAGGCAAAGAGTCACAGAGCTGCTGAGTGGGGTCAATATATCTGAAATACGAAGGGAAGCCCTAGTCAATGAAATTGCAAATATCGAACTTAAGCTGAAGGAATCTTATAAGAGACAAGAATCACAGGAAGAACTAAAAGCCATAAAGGAAATTGAAAAAAAAAAAAACGAAAATACTTCTTCTCTTATGTCAAATCTAAGGAAAAAACAACATCCAGTATTGGGTCCCTGCTTAGGCGGGATGGGACATACACAGATGACAGCCAAGAAATGAGTAAGATACTAAAGTCCCAATATGACTCAGTGTTCGGCGATCCACTGCCTACTCTAAGGGTCGACAATCCAAATGAATTCTTTATGAACGAAACCCAAAATTTGGTCATCTCAAAACTCTCGGATATTATTATAACTCCACAAGATTTTGAAGAGGCAATTAATGACATGCCCATGCACTCTGCCCCAGGCGCAGACTCGTGGAACTCCGTGTTCATCAAGAATGCAAGAAGTCCCTATGGCGTGCCTTCAGCATTTTATGTAGAGGGAGCATGGACACAGGGGTCATCCCACACACACTAAAAACAATAGACATAGCCCCACTCCATAAAGGGGGCAGTAAAGCAATTGCAAAGAACAGACCGATAGCACTAACATCCCATATCATAAAAATCTTTGAGAGGGTTCTAAGAAGCAAGATAGCCAACCACCTAGATACCCATCAGTTACACAACCCAGGACAACACGGGTTTAGACCAGGTCGCTCCTGCCTGTCCCAGCTACTGGACCACTATGACAAGGTCCTGGATGCTGTAGAGGATAAACAAAATACAGATGTAGTATACACAGACTTTGCAAAAGCTTTCGACAAGTGTGACCACGGTGTAATAGCACACAAAATGCGGGATTAAAGGAATAACGGGAAAAGTTGGTAGATGGATCTACAACTTCCTGACAAATAGAGCACAAAGAGTAATAGTTAACAGCGTAAAGTCCCAGGCAGCAATGATAAAAAGCTCTGTTCCACAAGGCACAGTACTCGCTCCCATTCCATTCCTCATCCTCATTTCCGACATAGAGAGAGATGTAAGCCATAGCTCCGTGTCTGTCTCTCTTTACTGATGACACCCGGATCACCATGGCAGTGACCTCCATCGAAGACACCGCGAGACTCCAAGCGGACATCAACCAAATCTACGAATGGGCCACTTAAAACAATATGAAGTTCAACTACTCAGATATGGAAAACTTGAAGAAATTAAAAATGTGTCAGGGTATACCACAAATTCTAACCGTACAATAGAGCGGAAAAGTAATGTGAAGGACCTGGGAGTAATAATGCCAGAGGATCTCGCCTTCAAAGACCACAACAATGCATCTACCTCATCCGTTAGGAAAATGATAGGATGGATAATGAGAACCTTCAAAACTAGGGACGCCAAGCCCATGATGATTCTCTTCAAATCGCTTGTGCTCTCTAGGCTGGAATACTGCTGTACACTAACGGCCCTCTTCAAGGCTGGCGACATTGCAGACCTGGAGAGTCTACAAAGGACTTTCACGGCACACTTAAGTGCGATAAGGCACCTAAACTACTGGGAACGGTTGAAGGTCCTTGATCTGTATTCCCTCGAACGCAGGTGAGAGAGATGCATGATAATATACACTTGGAAGGTCCTGGAGGGATTGGTACCAAACCTGCACACGAAAATCACTCCACATGAAAGCAAAAGACTCGGCAGGAAATGCAACATTCCCCCGATGAAAAGCAGGGGCGCCACGAGTACATTGAGAGACAACACAATAAGTGTCCGGGGCCCAAGACTGATCAATTGTCTCCCAGTATATATAAGGGGGATTACCAATATACCCCTGACTGTCTTCAAGAAGGCACTGGACAGGCACCTAAAGTCAGTACCTGACCAACCGGGCTATGGTTTGTACGTCAGCTTGCGTGCGGCCAGCAGTAACAGCCTGGTTGATCAGACCCTGATCCACCATAAGGCCTGGTCTCAGACCGGGCTGTGGGGGCATTGACTCCCAAAACCCTCTCGAGGTAAACTCCAGGTATCACCGCAAGGTATGGCACACTGCATATCCATAAAAACAAAATGGCGCACAGCTAATTTTGTGGCACTCTTATGTGGTGACATTCAAACTAATCCAGGACCTCAAAATATTGTAGAGCTGCAAAACAGGCAGATAAGTGACGGTGCTAATGGCGGTCTAGTAGCTAGGAATGATAACCTTACCTGTATATGTAATGAAGAATTGAGACACTTATGCACACATAGGTCCATGTGAGAAAATAGAACCATTCTTATTATCTCAAACACCACCAGACATATGTATGCACTGTACTAAGGTACGACAGAAAAATATTAAATATACTCATGTAAAATGTGTAAGGGGTGGGTGCAGAATGGATGTGTTCGGTTATGGTGCCAGATATTATTTTTGTAACAAATGCACTTTGGCACAGTTACCCTTTAGCAATGATGACGTTGATTTACCTAATTTTAACACAAATGACCCATTGCCATATAATGATGAATATGATTGTTTTATGAAAACAGGCCTTCACTTTATTCACGTCAACGCGAGATCACTTTTTCCAAAATTGGGAGAGACTAGGATTCTAGCTAACAGAACTAAGGCGGCAGTTATATCTACCTCCGAGTTCTGGTTGGATCATACGGTGACGGACGACGAGGTCAAAATAGAAGGTTACAATATAAAACGCCTAGATAGAAATAGAAAAAGTGGCGGGGTATATGCCTACTTAAGAAATGACTTAGCCTACAACCCAAGACATGATTTGAATGACAATAAACTGGAGATTCTATGGTATGAAGTGTTGCTTCCCAAAATCAAACCCATCTTAGTAGGAACTAGTTACCGCCCTCCCACCCATGACCAGTTCCTAGAAGATTTTTCGAGTCTTGTCCGGACTTGAGAACAATTGCGAGACTGTAATATTGGGGGACTTCAGTATCTGTTTTCATCAGCAAAATAACGGGCTATGTAAAAGGTATAAGAAAGCTCTAGGTTTAAAGAGTTATACTCTACTAATTAATACACCAACCCGGATCACACAGTTCTCAATCACCTTGATCGACAACAAACTATCTTTACACTTCGGGAAAAGGAAGTCATACTCTTTGGCACGAAACATAAACTGTGGAGGGTAAATAATTTTAATGTCCGGTGTAATAGGGAGCTCATCACTTCAGTTTCCTCAGTAAAATATCTGGGAATCCCCTTTGACCCATGCATGTCAGGAGAATTGATAAGGAACAGTGTAGTAAAGAAAGCGAATGACAGACTAAAGTTCCTCTACAGTCTACAGACAAACACAATGTCTACATACTGAGGCTCGCAGGACATTATGTCTAGCTCTTATACAATGTCATATGGACTACGCTTGCTCTTCTTGGGACCTGAGTCCAAGAGAGCATGTAGGCCAGGATGAATTACAACAATCAGATATACTGAATGTTGAAGACAGAGTAAAACAATTTTGTCAAGGCTGAGATCCAAAGCAATCATAGTACTAGGGGGAGAGAGCACAACTTTGTAGTAGCCACAGCCAGTGGCCAGGCTTCAAACATCTTTCATTGTACAGCAATAAAAGAATGGAACAGACTGCCCGCACATGTCAAAGTCAATCATAGCATGAACCAGTTCAAGAAGAGAGGCAAAAGGTGCCTAATTAATGTAGCGACAGAAAGGGGGGAGATTGATTTTTTATATTTTTAGCTAACACACATGTAAATAAAAATAACTCAATTTACATTACTCCTAGTATATCTCCTTTATAATATAATAATAAAATATAATCTCCTTTATAGTATAATAATAAGGCAATAAATGGACCCCAATAGAAATAAGTCAGTGTGTCTGACTTTTTTTTTGGGTTATCCCAGGTTCTCTACACAAACGCTGTTATGTATGATAATCTATATAACTGTATTTGTGTATACCTGAATAAACTTATTCGTCTACCTCTTGAGAAATTTTTGAGGTACAACTGCTATATGTGTTGAATGTATCGCGGTACATATATTGGGATTATGGGATATGGGAATACATCTCTGTGAGACCTTAGCGAGCGAAACATCTCTGTGAGACCTTAGCGAGCGAAACATATAGATAGCTCACTTCTCCTGTGACGAACTCATGCATTTTTTTTATTTGCTGGCCGCTCCCTTTTAAATATATATTAATGAACACAAAGGAAGAATTAACTTTTCTGACACTTAGCAACATATTCTTTATGTCATGTTACAGTCAGAACGATCCCAGGCCAGTTTTCTTTCAAAATTATTTATTTCTCCAACCTTGAAGACGCCGTCTTCTTGAATCGCAAATATACCTCCCTGATATGTACGTCGGTGTTCCTCATAAGAATTGAAAATATATTTTTATATGTAATTAATTTATTTTGGTTATCTTCGTTCTTCAGTTAGGCTGATAAGTCAGCGATTTTTCTTGTTATTTAATAAGTTACTTTACAGATCTACATAAAGTTGTGCAACATGTATCGAGCATTAAGTTGATGTATTATACACTATATAACAATTGTTCGCAAGAAAAACTGTACATTTCTAAGAAACAGTTGAAATGAAGATGATGCAACACACATCAGGTTAATGCTGGAGATTCGCTACTGGCGGAGTTACTGTTGCCTCAACATTCTGGAACATCAGGTTATAACTATATTTTATGCCTTTTTAAATGGAATGAGGACATATTTCCGGAAGGCCAAAGGATGCTTAAGCACCTATCGAATCATTAGCTGATAAGACTGTCACTAGACACACTTTCTGTTTAATGACAAATAAAACAACACCAGCATTAAGGCTTCAAATAATTTATTAAAGATGCATTCAGAGAAATATGTAGTAAAAAGAAGATTTGTAAAGGAAGAACATAATCTAGAAAAGTTTTGCTAGTAAATGATCAAGGTTAATTATCAGTAACAACATAGGCATCAGTTAGTAACCATAAGATGGAGCATAGCTGGGATGCTTGGCAGTGCCCTGGAAGGACACGGTAGCATGATATCCACTACCGTCAGCCCAGTAATCAACTCTCTCGAGTCGACCGTCTGGTAGTTGGACCCAGTAGGAGCCCTTGGCGTTGCCACCGTTACCACTCTCTTGCTGGCCAAAGTTGGTGGCTCCAGCGTTGACGTCATAGTTGAAATTGTAAGGAATCGGAGCCTGTGGACACATCAGCATGCTTACATTATTATTATTGATATACATATCATTTAAGCAAAAAGCATACATGTGCATACTATTTTGAGTATTGTAATTACAGTAAACATGTAAATAATGTTGGTTAACTTACATAGGAGGGTTGTTGGTATCCCCCTGGGAGAGCCACACCTGCGGCCACCAGTATACTCATTAACACCACCTGTGGGGACACAAGACTCTAGCAATGCAAGATTTTGTATTATTATTAACATTATTTAGCATAAATTCTTTATATTTTGAATTGTCATATAAAAATGTGCTGCACATAGAAATTTTACAAATTAGATGATTTTCTTCTCAATAACTACAGAACTATTTTATTTTTTAATTTTAATTATTTAATTTTAAACTTGTTTAAAAAAAATAAAATACCCATGAAAAGTAAGACTGTTAAAGCAATTCTACGAGTTGAGTAGGAATTTTGGAAAAAATATTAATAAAAATTGCCGCAGTATTTATCATTATAAATGTTGTAGCACAGAACTTGCGGAAGGAAGAATAATATCGTGAAAATTAGACACATGTGCAGCATCTGGGTATCTTTAGTGTAGACGTTTCGCCATCCAGTAACTTTATCAATACAAATTCAAGGACATGAATGGAAGAGAGAAGAACTGTATACAAAAGATGAGGTAAAGAGCACAACTACGGTGCTCTTCTTTACACCAACTCCGAGACTGAGGGACTGATTACCTTATCTTATGTATATAGTTCTTCAGTTCTTCTCTCTTCCGTTCATGCCCTTGAATTTGTATTGATAAATCCACTGGATGGCGAAACGTCTACAATAAAGATACCCAGATGTTACACATGTGTCTAATTTTCATCTTTTCGGTATTGTATACCAGTCTTGTACAAGAATAATATCGTTTAAAGATTACTACACAGGAAACATTCAGTAGCACTCATCGAATTCTTGGTTAAATTTCGACACTAATTTCTTAACGCTAGAAGCTTAAACTGTGTGTTTTTTTTTTATACAAGGCACGTGTTTTTGTGTAGATAAAGTGAATATTCATACTCACAGAAGTGAACATGATCGGTAGTGTAGTATCTGGACGGTGAGCAGTTACTGTCTCTTCCCAGGCCTCCAGCCAGGCTTTATACATCCAACCGGAACCCGTCATCCGCCTTTCCCACCACAACCAGACAAGGTCGTGCATGACAAGTCAGTTGTCATCTCTGGTTGAACATAAATCTGAGAGTCATGTAAGTTAATGTCTTCAGCGTCGCTCACTGAAGTTTTTGGCAGCCTAAATATTCAGCACAATACACCGTTATTACGTGGTTTACTAATGGTGAGAGTCGCATGTTTTTTAAAACGAGTTGAGGGTTTCTCATGCCTCAGGTTTCCTCGCCACGTGATCTTTCATTGCAAACGAGCAGACATCGTAACACCAGGAGCCAGGTCAACACCATAAGGAGGTATGTACTACCATCAGTGACGTCAGACAATATAGTAACTTTCATTTTACAAAAGTTCAGCATCGATGTAGCCGTCGGTACTGTAGACTAAGCCTACATGGCTAGTTTTTATAGATGCCACCAGAGGGCAGGCCTGGTGGGCATGCGACTTCAACCTGCATCACCCTGCCACGCTCTCACTTGACGACCAGGCAACTTAAGAGTCAACAAGGCCTTCTCCTCTCTCCCTCGCTAGGCGTGACCCTCCTGGGCCAGGGGAACTTAAACATAGAGCCTGTGTACCCACGATCTTCGCAAATAAAGAAAGAAGCCTCCGAAGAATATCATTGAACCTTTGCATAATTACCAGACGTAATTATTCCTTAATAACTGGTGACAGTGGTGCTCGCAGCGAGTTGTGTTTGCCCAGAGGGAGGAAGGAAGGAAGATGTTGTTTCTACTTCATCACCCCATACAAGAAGCATCCGTTTCTCAACGAGTTACCCTGATGTCGTGTCTGCAAGTCTGAGCATCCAGACACTGGTACAAGCAGGATCTAGGCGAAAATTTGCTGAATTTTCCTTGAGAAATCTGAGTGGGGTCCCCTGCGACTCCACGCCACAGCCCCCACACTGTTTCTCAGTCATGTGTTCAGCGTCACCTGTATGTTTCTGCTGTTGGTATTTCAGTTCAGCAAGGCTATTTCAGCAAGTCAGAGGTGATTTTGTGGTGATTTCTGTTCCCAGAAACTAGGGAGGCCAAGCCCATGATGACACTCTTCAGGTCACTTGTTC